CTAATATATATGTATACGTATGTACATATATATATATATGTGTGTGTGTGTGTGTGTGTGTGTGTGTGTGTGTGTGTATACACACACACACACACACACTCTCAAGGATCATATACACACTGTAGTTGCAGAGAATGCAGTGATTTTTATATTCTTTCTTTTTGTATTTAAAGATGAGCATGGAGGATCCAAATGATTCATTTCCAGAGGAAGTTGCTGCAGTTAAAGAAGACCTGAAGAACAACGACAGTGCTGCAGCAGCTGCAAAGATTCAAGAATATTTAGACAAGCAAAATGATGTTCTACTAAATATCGCCATCACAGGCGCGTCTGGAGCTGGTAAATCCACCTTTATTAATGCCCTCAGAGAGCTGTCCGATGATGATGAGAGAGCTGCTCCTACTGGTGTTACAGAAACCACCATGGTGGTTGAAGAATACCCCCATCCAAACTACCCCAATGTTAGATTCTTGGATCTCCCTGGAGTTGGTACCCCAAATTTTCCATCTGACACGTACCTGGAACGTGTTGGATTTGAGAAGTTTGACTTCTTTATCATCATCTCAGCCAGTCGCTTCACAGAAAATGACATGAACCTTGCAAAGGAGATTCAGAAGATAAAGAAAAAGTTCTACTTTGTTCGCTCAAGGATTGACAACGATATAAATGCTGAGAAAAGAAAGAAAGACTTCAGTGAAGAAAAGACTCTTGAAAAAATCAGACAAGACTGTATTGGAGGTGAGTGTCCTATAAAATCCTTTATCACTAAGTGAGATGAATTTGTTTGTCCATCATCCAACTCAAAAAAACTCAAAAAAGTGTAGCTATTTCTCACAAGCAAAAGCTCTTTTTAAAGTTTGTTTTCAGTATTAACACTGAACAACACCCAACAGACAATATTAAACTAAAAATCAAATTAATCAACTGAATTCAGTCTTGTTTGCAGCCTTTCTGAAATCTGAACTTTGCAATTGGGTTCTTGTTTCACTGAAGCCACAGCGAGGTGTGCAGGATCATTTGTTTAATGTTTAATTTTGCAAACTGAATATTAAAATTACATTGTACATGTGCTTGCTCTTTTTTTTCCTCCCACATGGTTTATATAAATACCATTTTACTGATCTTACTGATTCTCAATCATAAACTCTGAATCTTGTTGTATCTCTTTAATAACTCAGGTCTTCAGGAACAAGGCATCAAGTCTCCACAGGTCTTCCTGGTGTCCAGCTTTAAGCTCCGCCGGTACGATTTCTCTCTCTTACATGACACCTTAGAGAGAGAACTTCCTGCACACAAGAGAGATGCTCTGCTGTTTGCCCTGCCCAACATCAACCTGGAGATCATCAGCAAGAAGAAAGAAGCTTTTCAGTCTAAAATAAAATACTGGGCTACTCTGTCTGCAGCTGCAGCAGGGGTTCCAGTTCCTGGGTATTCCATTTGTATGGACCTGTCCATGATGGTTAATGTAGCCATGCGTTATGTAGTTGGATTTGGGCTTAATAAACCATCACTAGAGCGACTCTCTGCCAGCTCGGGTGTGCCCTACACTGAGCTGCTTAATGTCCTTAAATCACCACTGGCTACAGCAAAAATAACCCAAGATCTCCTCCTGAAGCTGTTGTCCCAAACGGCCAGCACAGTTGCACTCATGGCACTAGAGGAAGGATCCAGGTGGATTCCATTAATAGGAATCCCTCTGGCTGTGGGCCTCTCCTTCACCACAACCTGCAGCGCTCTGAATTATTTCCTCAATGAGCTCGCTGATGATGCTCAGAGGGTGTTTAAAAAGGCTCTGGGTCTGAACACCTCAGTGTGATATTATAAATGGCAACTTCTTTAATGATTCTAGGATAGGCAAAAAAATGAGGTTTTGATCTTTTTCAAAGTAGACTGAATTAAATTCTCCTGAAATCAATTGCTTAAATTATAACTGAGGCTTGTAGTATAGAGTAGTTCCTCTGATCAGAGCAGAAACAACAGAGTAACTTCTCCCAGCTTCTCACACTCAAACTTTCCATCACATCAACACAGGAACTAATGTGATCTTATTATTCAGATATGAATTGTGTATAATGTAGAAGAGCCACTGAATCATTGCAATGATGCGTTTCTTTGTTCTTTGTGTTGTTGTTATTGTCAGCACTAGAGTGTGATGAGTCTGATTGTTTTGTTATCACATCATAGCATCCAGCATGATAAATACCAGCTATTAAAGAGTGGATGATGTAATGTGATAAGCAGAGGTGTGTAGAACAGAAACTGCTCTGTGGTGTTTGAGTCCTGTTGACTGTAGTTTGTGATGAGTGTTCACTGCCCTCCAGCGGTCACAGTGAGCAACTACAACACAAATAATACAGATATGACTGCATGTTTATCAACGTTATTCCTGCTTGCTATAAATAAAATGTTATTAATAAAGATATTAACATTAATTGTTATTAGTAGTAGCAGTATCTGATTTTGATGAAACAATAGATTC